TTATTATTATTATTATTATTATTATTATTATTATTATTATTATTATTATTTCAATCTATGATTGAAGAACGCGGCAATACAAGGATATGTTGTTTCCTTCCCTGTGGTTGTGGGAGTACAGTACCACTATTAGTACTGGTTTTCTATTTTTCTTTTATTTTTTTTCCCTCATCACTTCTGTGCGTAAAAAAAAAAAAACCTCAAGGGTTTTTCTCTTGTTCTCTCTTTAACTACTGTTTTCTCTATTTCATATTTTAACACTATATATATGTAAAGGTGAGTTCAATCACACATAGATAATAATAATAATAATAGAGGAGAAAGAGAAAGAAAAAAAGAAAAGAAAAGAACAAAAACACCGCAAAAATGTCCACAACTCTACTCGTAACGGAAGAAGAAAAAGAAGTCATCTCAGTATCCAGTGAGGCGTTATTACATTTGGCAGCACGTCTAAATGGAGCCGTCTTCTCTCCTCACTCTATCCCCACAACAACGGGAACAGTCAATACTACTACTATTACTAGACCGCCGACCACTACTACTACTAATATCAATACTAGTAATATCAATACTAGTACTAATACTAGTAATATGAATATTTCTAATCCACCGTTTGTGACTATAGAAGATGGTGTTGGTTTTGTAGAATTACTCTCTGAGGTGGTGGTTCATTACGCCACTGCCCTCAAACCCACAAGTGAGACTCCACAACATTTACAACCCTCCTTATATAGAGAAGAAATATCTTATTCTCATTCTCATCATCATTCGACTAACACAACAGTAGAGATGAGAAGATCATTACGAATGAAACGAATGGCACTTCGTTATTTACTCTTTGAAGTACAACCGGATCTCATGGCAACCGTATTATCAATTCTACACGCACCTCACATAATGGAGGAGGAAGATGAGATGTGTCGTCTCTTTTGTAGAGTTCTCGCCTTTTTACAGGGAGTGGTACTTTCCTGCTGTATTCCAAGTGAAGAGACATTTGAATCTACACAACAACAACGAAAACAAAAAGAAGAAGAAGTAGAAAAAGGAGAAGAAATGAGAGATGTGGGATTACCGATGGAAGCAATTGAATTAGCGGCGACTACGACGGATTTATTAGATCGTTTAGGTGCTGTACATATAATAACAGGATTGTTATTTGATGAATATCCCACAACGGTGCGATTGGCAGCTGTACAATTATTATTTGTATTGTTATTACGTGATGGTGGGGCAGTCGCCCAGACGAGGAATCCATATGTACGAGACTCTCTCACTACTGCAGAGCATTTATCAATTCTTCTCTCTGTACTCTCAACAACACCCTCCTCTTCCTCTTCCTCCGTCTTCTTCTCTTCATCTTCACAATCACCATTATCCTTCTCTCCAGCAACTGGATCTACATCTTGTATAATGATGATGGATAAACTGGTATCATTGCGGTTACATGCGGCAGCGTGTTTACGTGAATTGGCGAATACACATTTTATTCCACTCGCCCAACCAGAAGTATTGGATGTTTTTCGATGTATTGCGGATACGGATGTGAATGGAGATCTGCGGGCTTTATGTATAGAATCTCTTCATGTTATTTTACAACGTAATACCTCTATTGCATGTTGGGCAAACATTCCATTTAAAAAGGAACTTGTAGCCTTTTGTAGTAGACAATTAGAACGGGAAAGTCATCCTGATGCCCTAAGAGCTACTATGTGTCTTGTGGAAACACTTATTGTAAAAGATGCGATTTTAACTTCCATTCTTGTTCAAACTGGTAATAAAGATCGTGTTGGTAGGATGTTTAATAATAATAATAATAATAATAATAATAATAATA